CTAATTCATTTCAATGTATGACAAAAACCACTGCAATGATGTAAAGTAATTAGCCTCCAACTAATAAAAATAAATGGAAAAAAAAAAACCTAAAAAAAAAAAGCAGAGACATTACTTTATCAACAAAGGTTCATCTAGTCAAGGCTATGGTTTTTCCAGTAGTCATATATGGATGTGAGAGTTGGACTATAAAGAAAGCTAAGCGCAGAAGAATTGATGCTTTTGAACTGTGGTGTTGGAGAAGACAATCTTGAGAATCCCTTGGACTGCAAGGAGATCAACCCAGTCAATCCTAAAGGATATCAGTCTTGAATATTCATTGGAAGGACCAATACTGAAGCTGAAACTCCAATAATTTGGCCACCTGATGTGAAGAGCTGACTCATTTGAAAAGACTCTGATGCTGGGAAAGATGAGGGAAGGAAGAGAAGGGGGCGACAGAGGATGAGATGTTTGGATGGCATCACTGACTCGATGGACATGAGTTTGAGTAAGTTCTGGGAATTTTGATGGACCTTGAAGCCTGGCATGCTGCAGTCCATGGGGTAGCAAAGAGTTGGACACAACTGAGCAACTGACTGAACTGAACTGAATGTTCAAAATTTTTAAACAGTTTATGCAACTCAATATCACACACACAACAAAAACCCAAAAAATAATACTCTTTGACTCACATCTTTTGAAATTGCTGTTGATCTGTGTCATTATCATTATCATTATTATAGTTTGTCTCTGTGAAGAAAAAACACAGAATTTTTTCTTCACTGTATTAGTCAGGGTACTTCAGAGAAGCAGAATATCTATCTGTATCTATCTATCTTCATCATAAATATTTATTTGAAAGTGTTTAATTATAAGGAATTGGCTCACATAATTATAGACTTTGAGAAATTCCAGTCCTGCCATCTAAAGACTGGAAATCTATGTAACTCAGTCCAAGTCTGATGCTTGGGGCCACAGTACAGTCTAGTCTGAACCATAAAAGAGCTGCATCTCAGCTCAAGCATGCAGGCAGGAACAGGAAGAGCAAATTCTTCCTTCTTCCACATGTTTGTTCTTTTCAGGTCCTTCAACAAATTGAATGATGATGCTCACCCACCCTGGGGAAGGCAGACTACTGAGTCCAGAGATCTAATTCTAATCTCATCTGGAAATGACACCCACACAGGCGCATCCAGAAACGATATCTGACACAAATAACCAGTCAGTGTTAACACACAAAATTAACCATCAAATTAATTTTCCTGCTTCATTTTATAAGACTCTAAGGATTATATGATAAACAACATTAGATGACATTGCCCAACAAATAACCCTCCTACAGTTTCCTCTTTTTCAACTTATTTAGGAAAAGTGTCATTTTGGCCATATAGCATCCAGCTTCTGAATGTTAGTGTCAATGAACTAAAGCTCTGTGATCACCCCTCTGACTCACCACCTGAGTGATTTCAGATTGTTGAGCCATTTCCTCCAACATGACCTAATAAGACAGACTGTCCACATTCACTTATTTCAGCTGGTGGACACAGGCCAGGGGAGAGCGTGCTAGTGTTATTGCCTCAAGGGAGCCCTCAGTGTGGGTCTTCACTGGGGAAAAGGGGGTACTTCCTCCTCCTGACTGCTCCTTAATATGGAACAAGACGTGGTGAGTGTCTGAAATTGCATTTCTTATGAAGTCTGATTTTCCAAAGGATTTATTATTTTGAAGAGACTTGAGAACAGCTTCTCGGAGAAGAGCTGAGAAAAGAATAAAATGTATTCACTGACCCACCAGGCTCAGGAATAAAAGCCTTGTTTCCTCACAGTGTCCTAGGTGGACACCTCTTACTGGTCTATAGTTTCTCTCCTCGTTTCTCGCCCATGCTCCACCCTCTAGAATTTAGCTTTCATTTTCACTTGTCATCTATTAGAGATCTTAGTGGAGGTCAGGCAGTGGTGTGATGAGTAAATCCTGAACACATCTGCCCGTTGCCTGTCTTCACTTCTTTCCAAGAAATCACAACTTCTGCATTAGGATGTGAGGGTTGCTGAGTGGTTTGTGGAGGGAAGAGTTAGAGAGACACACAGAAGAAAAAACGAAATCTGCTTGGGTGAGTTTCACTTGTTGTCTGGAAGCTGTTCTAAAAGAGGAAATGGCCCAGCCTGCAGGCTTCCTGGTTAGAGTGCTGACTGAAGATCAGTCTGTGGGAGGTCTTACAATAAGGGATGTTGGAAGAAGAAAAAGGCTTTATTTGTTCCTTGAAGGGACTATATTTCTCTAGGCTGAATCTACCCATATCACCTTCCTATTTTGTAAGTTTGAATCGCACATGCAGAGAACAGCCAGAATCTTTGATTTTTCAGAGGTAGAAAGACCTTCCCTCAACAACAGGTCAAAGGCCAAGGTGGTTTTCCAGTTCTGATGTTTTAATTTCTAACTGTAAAAATGCAATATTTCTGCATGGCTGTGTAGAAAATTTCTTCATCACTTTGGTCAGCCTGTGCTCAGGAGTCTGATGGTGTGCCTGCTGGTTGGCCCTGCAGTCTGTTATGTATTCATTCATCCAGACACAGGGAACTGCTACAGTTCCTTACATCACTAACCTGCTCCTCCTTCTCCTTGAGGAGGATCTGCCACCCAGAACTAGCTCAGCTGAGAGACCAGTGGCAAGAGGAGCACGTGGCAATAATTTCCAGAAGTGGCATCAAGAAATATCCAACTTTTAGTGACAATGACATCTAACTTTTAATGTTAAAAAGTTGATTAACGCATTTGATTGGTGTTAATGATATTAAAAAGATGTCTGAGAAGTATCATAAGACCATGAGGAAAGTAATTAGAGAAGTCTCTGTAGTTCCTCCCCTCCTCCTTCTTACAGAAGTACCATCTTAATCCCCATTTCCCAGGCACGGAACACAAGTCAAGTCTCTTCTCACCATGACTTCCCAGTTTCTGACCAAATCTTATTTCTCCCACATTGACTTTGGAAATTATCATCTCTACTACATATTACTTGTTGCTCTCTCAGCTATAGTCAGTGTTAGACTCTTGTCTTCTGAGCTCACACAGTTCACCTCTGTCAGGCCAAAAACTACAGAAGCTTAGAATTGATTTGTTAGTTTACTGTTTCAGGTTTTATTTTGCTAGTATCACAACAAGTTTATGTTGTATAATAATAGATGACTGGCTGGGAAATAAAACAAAGCAAAATTTCATTTTCCAAGTCTATTGGGAAAAGTGACCCCTTTCCATAACATCCATAATTTGTGGCTTTATCCTACTTAGCGAAACAGTTTTACTGGAATCACAAAAGAAGAAAGCTCTATATATAAATTTACTTCTAGGATCTTTGCATAATTATTTTCTTTTTATATCCTTTTTTGCTTATCCATAGCTGTTTCCTCTGAGGTATTTTAACTCTGTGCTTAGATGTGAGAAAAGCAACATGTAAGATTCAATCACCTGATACCATGGCAGCCAAGTGGCCTAAAGTTTTATCAGGCAAATGTCATCATGTTCCTACATCTGTTTCTCTGAATGCATTGGAGCCCTTGGGTCACTGCTTAGGGAGAAGTCGGGGAGTGGGTTCAGCCTTCATGTATAGCGACTAGTTCCTTCCTTGTCAGTTGTGCTGCATCAACTTTGATGTATTAGCTCTTTGGAACCCTGAAGGGAATATAGATTCTGCAGTCTCATGACTGAATGTTTGCTCTGTATCTCCTATCTCTATACATTCTTGGTGCATCTCAAAACTGGTTGCATCTTGAATAGAAGAGAAATAGTTGGAGGCTCCATTACCATTTGGAACCCAGCTTGAGTCATCAATTGATATAATGTCCACTTCTGATCTAGTTCTTCATCAGAGTCTGATTGGGTCATAGTCTTTGCAGCCATGGGCAAACTGCATATGGCTTCTGAGCTATGTGGGTATCTGTATCTTTAACTGGATAGCATTTCTGCTTCACTTTCAGCCTCATTCTTTATTTGGTTTCCTTCATGTAGGATGAACATGGCACAAATGGAATTTCAATAAGTCTCAATTTATCTCTATTTAGCTTTTATGAGTTCTACATTCCTTGGGCAGAGCAAAGGGAAACTTCTTAGCTGTTTCATACTGGAGCTCTTTCATTTACCATCAAACTTTGGCAACCATCAAGATATGGAATATCATCTGAGATGTTCCCTTTCCTCATCTGTTGTTTCATAGCCCCATTTGCTTGAAGTCCCGACAGAACTTCTGAGACTAGACCATGGCCAGAGGGCCATAGTGATTCCAGGTTGAAGACCGAGCATCACTGTGCTACCACTTTGTGACGCCCCCTCTGACTGACCACCAGCAGTGGTTTCCAATGTGGATCACAAATCCCACCTACACAATCTCACAAAACATAAGCCACTGAAAGGTTGCTGTTATGAGCCGAGAACGATGCAGGATTCTTGGACTCTGAAGGAGAGAAATTCAGTCTGGGGCCAGTGATGTGGCTTGATCACTCAGAGCTTTGTGTATAATAAAGTTTTATTAAAGTATGAAAGAGAGAAAGCTTCTGATATAGACATCAGAAGGGGACAGAAAGAATGTCCCCTTGCTAGTCTTAGAAGGAGTTATGTAACTATTAGAAGCTGCTAATTAGAGAAAGGAAATGCCTCAAAACTGAGAGAGTTTCACCAGAGCTCTCACCCACAACTTACATTGTGAGCTAGCATTGACACAAGGTGAGTCATCCTTGGTCATAAAACTAACGACATGAATCTTGAAGAAAGGCAGATTTCCAAGCAAATGCAGAGTTCATTCAGTCAGTTCAGTTCAGTTGCTCAGTCATGTCTGACTCTTTGCAGCCCCATGGACTGCAGCACGCCAGGCTTCCCTGTCCATCACCAACTCCCAGAGCTTGCTCAAACTCATGTCCATTGAGTTGGTGATGCCATCCAACCATTTCATCCACTTCTTCTCCTGCCTTCAATCTTTCCCAGCATCAGGGTCTTTTCCAATTAACATAGATTATTAACATAGCTTAAGAAAGACATTTACATGAGAAAAACACATTGGTTAGCTCAAGGTTTGAGATAAGGTTAAGTTCAGAGGGAACCAGGTATCACCATGACAGCACAGGATTAGAAGAGAAAAAAAAAAAAACCAAAGCCTGCCATTAAAATTTTATTTCCTCCTGCTGCTTGAGGACCTCTGGCCTCCCTATCAAGGCTATTAACACTCTCACCACAAGGAGCACTAAACTTAGCTGGAGGTATCAGGACAGGAGACACAACACTGGGCCTAAGCACCTCAGGTGAGCTCTCAGAGATGATCCTTACGGGAGGTGCAGTATCCCCATCATCTCAACTTTGTAAGGAACCACATAGATGGATGTGTGTGAACCCACCACAGGTGAGATAAGCCTAGTGAATTGATTACCTTGTAAAAAGACCATGAGCACCAGTTTTCAGGTACCTAAAAGAGACATATTTGATGATGAGAGTCACAATCTCCTTGTGAAAAATGAGGTATATTCTAACCAACTGTGTTTATTTAAGAACTATATAATGCCTTCCTAGTCCCAAATGCAGTTTATATCAGACTAATTGTGTTATCCATAATGTGTTCTTGAAAGGCTGCAGAACTTCTACTCAGTTGTAATCCAGTAGGTTTCCCAGAAAACAACAACACACACACACACACACACACACACACACACACACACACACTCTCACACAGACTTAGGAGAATTGTAGCCAGTATTATCTTTATAGCAAGAAAGAGCCCAGGCCTGATGTTAACCGTTGTTACTACATATCTAATCTAAAACAGAATCCTGCCTTTTTCTCTCTCACTCTCACATGCTGCCCTGCATTCCCTTCATCACACTGTTCTCAAACTATCATCATCTCTCACCTGAGCAGCTGCATCCTACCTGATCTTCCCAATTCTTCCCTGGGTCCATCCAACTCCTCACAGCCCAAGGGCCCACCTGGTCATGCCCCTACTATTCTTTGACGGGAAAACATTGATAACTTCTCCTGACTCTTGGAGGTGGGTCTGCAAATGTTACAGATGCTAGGAAGTGTCATGATTAATGTCACTGCAGCCTCTTGTGATACTAGGGGCCTGGCACTTCTCTGCGCTCCTGTCAAACTGGCCTTTTGAAACCTGTATAAGAGGCTGGGTCTTCAAGGAACAGGTCATTTCCTACACCTAAAATGTTTATACTCTCTTTCCTTCCATATTTCCTTCATCTTCTTTGAGTTTAGCCCTTATGTTTTCAAGTTGGAATTCTTGGATAACCCTTTTTTTATCCCTATATTTGATCTCTGATAAACATATATGTCTCTGTAGTGGTATCTTTATATCCGATCTTCTGTATCTATAAGACTGAATTTTTATTTACTACTACTTTCCAGGTGAATATCAAGCTTACAGTGGTCTAAATCATCTTTTTGAACTCATCTTACTGTGTATGGATATTAATCCAGTTGCCAGCACATAATTCTTCATTAACAATAATTATTTGAATAATATGACCTAATATTTTGAGATTTTTTCATCTCAAGACTGGCATTCATTTCATCTATGTTTATCTGTTTTTATATATCTGACTTATGAGTCTATTTACACTAACTCCCTCCTCACCATCATACAGATACTTCTTTTAGACTCCTATCAATGCTCCTAGGAATATTTCTGGGCCAAAGAGAAATCAGTATGTACACACTCAAGACTTTGTAGACCTATCCAGCTGGTTTGAATTTCTTCATTTCCACACACCCCCTCACATTGCTCTGAATATTAATTGGGTCCATGAAGTAACTTCTGTTTGTCTCAGATTAACTCAGTGGGGTAGGAGACAGGCCTCTGAAGGGGTGCTGTCAATATATTAGGTTCAGCCCATTCAGTGTATTAAAGATGCATGATCTTTGTAAGTCACTGGCTCCATTTACTCATCTGATGAAGGATTTGCTCTTATCATATGTATAAGCACACTGTAATATACTATGTCATGATAATATGGGAGCTCATTGCAAATGTCCAACAGTTAGTGGCAGTGGATACACATAAATACTTTAGTTAGAGCAGTTCTTTGTGATGAGAGAACATCAGGAAAGAGTTTACCAAAGCATTAGAGAGAGCCATATCGATCAGGGGAAGTAGTTCATATATAAGAGAAGAGTGGGTATAAAATCCCAAAGACATTAAGTGATTTCAGCCTTTCGATACTGAAGATGTTTCTTGGGCATGGAAAAGAAAAATCAGGATGGATGGTGGATCATACAAGTATCTTAGTAAAAAAAGCTTCAGGTCATATTTTTGTTAAGTAACATTAAATAATAAGAATCATTAAATTTACTGAGTTGATAGTAAAGCGTTAAATTATGAAATGTCCTTTTGACTTGGTAACCAAGATCCTTTCCTTGTTTCTCTATGTTTTCTTTTCTGTCTTTTAATAATTTGATCTTGGCCTGTACTTGATTTATAAGCAATTAGTACCATGTTTTTCTACCTTTCTTACTCTGTTCCCTTTTATCCTTCCCAATCCTGTAGCAATCTGTGAGCAAGAGAACCCACAGAAGTCAGGACAGGTAGGAGAAGGTGAGCAGGTGCCATGGCTTCAGAAAAATTGGTGAATTTACAGGAGGAGGTGACCTGCCCCATTTGCCTGGAGCTTCTAACAGAACCCCTGACCCTTGACTGTGGCCACAGTTTCTGCCAAATCTGTCTCACTGCAAACAGCAAGAAGTCAGTGGCTGGCCAAGAGGAGGAGAGAAAGTGCCCTGTGTGCAGAATCAGTTATGAATCTGGGAAACTGCGGCCTAATTGGCACCTGGCCAACATAGTGCAGAGGGTCAGGGAGGTCAAACTGAGCCTGGAGGATCAAGAGAAACATCTCTGTGTGCACCATGGAGAGAAACTCCTGCTCTTCTGTGAGGAGGACGGGAAGGTCATTTGCTGGCTCTGTGAACGGACAAAGAAGCACCGTGGTCACTCTACATTTCTCATAGAGGAGGTTGCCCAGGATTACCAGGTAAGAGACCATAATGGCGAGAAAACAGGGCAGAAAATTGTAGTTGATGAGAAATGTCTGCTTTACACTGGACTTTAATTACCTACTCACCATGAACCTGGGGTCTGTGATTTTTTTTCTTCCTATGCTCACCTTCTGATGTTTGAAGGACATAAATGTGCATTTTGACAATTACAAAGTGATAACCCTATACACAGACTCTTAGCCTTGTGCTAATATGTGGAGATTGGTGCCCAAGAGAAGCTTTCCTTACCTCTTTGAACCGGAGAAGTAACTAGGACACCAGGTAGATTGAAATGTAAGCTATTTCCTGCCGGAGCCTGCCAGCAAACGAACCGGTCATGGACGCAATCGTCGAAATATCTAAGAAATAAAGACTCGGAAAGATGGGGTTGAGAGGGATGGAGGCAGCTCTCGACTGAAACCGACGACTTTATTGAGGGGTAACATACATATATATGCTAATAGGACTCACTAAATTTAGATCAAAGACATGCATACGTGCAGAATCGCAGACATTAGATTTCGCTCAGGAATTTTATCTCAACTCTTTAAGACTAGCAGAGCATGGCACTGGCGTCTTAATATGATTACAATCAGTTAAAGATTACCTAGACATAAACCATACACAGGAGCCTGACAATCTCATCAGAGTCAGGAAAATGGGTAAAAGGTTGCTGCAGCAATTTCCTTGAGGGAGGTAAGAAAGGCCAGCTTGCACTTTAATAAATCAGGGGTGGCGGGACAGAGAGGGACCTCTTGATCTCTCTCAGGGCCAAGAAGGAGCCTGAGCAGTCAGGCCGGCTCCCTGCAATTTCCTTGTTGCAGGATCAGGTTTCTTCTTAAACAACCAGTCTTCTCTGGGTGAGAGGGTGGTGACTTCCATCTCTTCAGTCTTATAGAACACATTCCTCACCTCAGGTCTTCTTCCAAGTCACAGAGTCTAATTGCTGTTCTCAGTTTCTGTGAAGCATATTCTCTTTGGAAATCAGGATCATTTCTCCTCCATTTATCATCCTCTATAGTGACGCTGAGTAAGTCCATAGCTTGACTCTGATGTGATACTTTTCTCAACAGAACAAACTCCAGGCAGCTCTGAAGAGGCTGAAGCAGGAGCAGCAGGAAGCTAAGGCATTGGAATCTGACTTCAGAGAAGAGATTGCTGCCTGGAAGGTAGGAGGAGACACTTCCTGAAGGAGTTAGACAGATATCTGGGCAGGACCTTAGGTTGATCACAAGGAGCTACCTTCCTATTTGTTCCCAGACAGTTAAGTCATTTGACTAGTCCTTTTCTTCACCATTTCCCTGATAAGAGTGGGTGCTAAAAAGTGAACATAGAGCAAATGAACACAGATATTGGAAGGGAGGTATTCTTTTAGAGAGATTCTCTAGTGGGGATGACTAGGGAATTTCATGTTCCATTCTTGACATATTCATTAGCCTTTGACTCTTCTGACAAAGACACCTGACAGTGGCTTATGGCTCTGTCCTCAACGTTCACCTTTTTGACAGAGGTTGGTTGGAGGGGGTCAGAAGCAATGCAGGGAGGCAAGAGAATTCTGAATAAATGTGTGAAGGCTGAGCCACACCCATGGAATCCTTTTGGCTCTTGGTTGTCCTCAACAATGCAGACTTGGAGGCATTATTTTGAAATGTGATAGAGAGGAAATAAAAGAAAATAGCAAAGTCAGCTTTTCCAAAGATTGTTTTCTTCCTCTCTCTCTCTCATTACTGAAGAATCAAACACAACATGAGAGACAAAATGTCGAGGCAGAGTTTAAAAAACTGAGAGCAATCCTGGACAGTGAGGAGAGGAAGGAACTACAAAAGCTGAAGGCTGAGCAGACAGCTACTCTGTGTACCATGGCAAACTCTGAGAATGAGCTGGTCCAGCAGAGCCAGTTGGTGAGAAATCTCATCTCAGATATAGAGCATCGTTTGCAGGGGTCAACAGTGCAAATGCTACAGGTAAGACTTGGGAAGAAGCCCTAGCATCTGAGACATGAGGAAAATGAAGTCAAAGTCTCCATCACTTTCAAGTTGCTGGGCTCTTTCTGGTGCTGTCACTGCCTCTGCATCCTTCACTCCTTGTAACCATAAGTTTGTTCTCTAAGTCTGTGAGTCTGCTTCTGTTTTGTAAATAAGTTCATTTGTATCATTTTGAAGAGATTCTGCATGTAAATGATAGCCTATAATATACACTATATTGTATGTCTGACTTCATTCAGTATGACAATCTCTAGTTCCATCCATGTTGCTGCAAATGGCATTGTTTCATTCTTTTTAATGGCTAATATTCCATTGTACATATGTATCATGTGTTCTTTATTCATTCCTCTATTGATGGACATTTAAGTTGTTTCCATGTCTTGACCATTGTAAATAGCACTGCAAAGAACACTGGGGTATGTATCCTTTCAGATCATGTTTTTCTCCAGACATATCCCTAGGAGTGGCCTTGTAGGATCATATGGTAGCTCTATTTTCAGTTTCTTAAGGAATCTCTATTGGCCTCACCCATTTACATTCCCGTCAACTGTGTAGAAGGGTTCCCTTCTCTCCACTCAGTTTCCAACATTTATTGTTTGTGGGTTTTTAGATACTTCCCTTTCTAACTGGTGTGAGGTGATTTGTGTTTCTCTAACAATTTTGATTTGCATTTCTCTAATAATTAGTGATGTTGAACATCTTTTCAAATACCCCTTGGCCATCTGTATGTCTTCTTTGGAGAAATGTCTATTTAGGTCTTCTGCTTGTTTTCTGATTTGGTTATTTGTCTTGATATAAATTTCTCTGGTGGCTCAGACGGCAAAGCATCTGCCTACAAAGTGGGAGACTCAGCTTCCATCCCTGGATTGGGAAGATCCTCTGGAGAAGAAAATGGCAACCCTCTCCAGTACTCTTGCCTGGAAAATCCCATGGATGGAGGAGCATACTAGGCTATAGTCCATGGGGTCACATGATATTAAGCTACACGAACTCTTCGTAAATTTGGAGACAAATCCCTTATAATTGACATCATTTACAAATATTTTCTTCCAATCTGTGGCTTGCCTTTTCATTTTATTTAAAAGTTTTGAATTTGATTTGTCCCATTTGTTTATTTTTGTTTTTATTTTCAGTACTCTGGGAGATAGATCCAAAAAACCTATTGCAGTGATTTTTGCCAGAGAGTGTTCTGCCGATGTTTTCCTCTAAGTGTTTTATAGTGTTTCGTCTCATATGTACATCCTTAATACATTTTGAGATTACTTTTATGTGTGGTGTTAAGAAGTGTTTTAATTTCGTTCTTACATGTAGTTGTCCAGTTTCCCCAGTTTAGTGGTTTCCCTTCCTCTGCAATATTTTGGAACAGCTTCAGAAGAATTGTTGATAGCTTTTCCCCATGATAGAATTTACATGTGAGCACATCTGGTCCTGGACTTTCATGCGTTGGATTACTTTCAGTCACAGTTTCAATACTTGTGACCAGTCTGCTTGTCCTTTCTATTTCTTTCCAGTTAAGTCTTGGGAGATACCTTTCTAAGAATTCGTCCATTTCTTTGAGGTGGTCCATTTTATTGGCACATATTTTTGTTTTTTGTGTTTTTTTCCCCCTTATAGTTTATTTCTAGCCTCATAGCATTGTGGTTGGAAAAGATGCTTGATATGATTTCAACTTTCTTAAATTTACTGAGGCTCACTTTGTGGCACAATATGTGATCAATCCCAAAGAATGTTTCATGAGCACTTGAGAAGAATGTGTGTTTTTCTGCTTTGGATGGAATGCTCTATAAATATCAATTAAGTCCATTTGGCCTAATGTGTGATTTGAAACCTGTGTTTCCTTGTTGATTTTCTGCCTGAATGATCTGTCCATTGATGAAAGAGGGGTGTTAAATTCCCCTGCTATTATTGTGTTAACTGTCAGTTTCTCCCTTGTTGGCTATTAGTATTTGCCTTATATATTGAGGTGTTCCTATGTTGGGTGAACGTATTTTTAAAATTGTAATATCAATTTCTTGAATTGATCCCTTGATCATTATGTAGTGTTTTCCTTTATCTCTTATAACAATATTTATTTTAACATCTATTTGTCTAACATGAGTATTACTACTACAACTTTTTTTTTCAATTTCCATTTCCATGAAATACATTTTTCCACAAACTGAGAGGTTCCAGATGTAGTAACTGGGTTTAGAAAAGGCACTGGAACCAGAAATCAAATTGCCAACATTCATTGGATTATAGAGAAGAAGACAGAATTCCAGAAAAACATTTACTTCTGCTTCATTGACTGTGCTAAAGCCTTTGGCTCTGTGGATCACAACAAACTTTGAAAAAATCTTAATGATATGGAATACCAGACCACCTTACCTGCCTCCTGAGAAACCTGTATGCAAGTCAAGAAGCAATAGTTAGTACTAGGCATGTAAAAACAGACTGGTTCAAAAATGGGAATGGAGTACATCAAGGCTGTATATTGTCACCCTGCTTATTCAACTTACAAGCAGAGTACATCATGCCAAATGTTGTGCTGTATCACTCACAAGCTAGAATCAAGATTGCTGAGAGAAATATCAATAACCTCAGATATGCAGATGATACCACTCTAAAGCAGAAAGTGAAGAGGAACTAAAGATCCTCTTGATGAAGGTGAAAGAGGAGAGTGAAAAAGTTGGCTTGAAATTCAACATTCAAAAAACTAAGATCCTCACATCCATCTCATCATCACCTCATGGCAAATAAAAGGGGAAAAAATGGAAGCAGTAACAGATTTCATTTTCTTGGGCTCCAAAATCATTGTGGACGGTGACTGCAGTCACGAAATTAAAAGACACTTATTCCTTGGAAGGAAAGCTATGACAAACTTAGACAGTGTATTAAAAAACAGAGACATCACTTTGCCAATAAAGGTCCATAAGGTCAAAAGTATGGTTTTTCTAGTAGTCATGCATAGATGGGAGAGTTGGACCATAAAGAAGACTGAGTGCTGAGGAACTGATGCTTTTGAATTGTGGTGCTGGAGAAGACTCTTGAGAGTCCCTCGGACTGCAAGGAGATCAAACCAGTCAGTCATATAGGAAATCAGCCCTGAATATTCATTGGAAGGACTGATGCTGAAGCTGAAGCTCCAATATTTTGGCCACCTGATGCAAAGAGCCAACTCAATGGGAAAGACCCTGATGCTGGGAAAGATTGAAGGCAAAATGAGAAGGGGAGTGGCAGAGGATGAGATGGTTAGGTAACATCACTGACTTGGTGGACATGAATTTGAGCAAACTCTGGGAAATTGTGGAGGACAGAGGAGCTTGGCACGCTGCAGTCCATGGGGTCCCAAAGAGTTGTACATCATTTAGCAACTGAATATCAACAGCAATCTTTTTCCATCCCCTCACTTTCAGTCTATATGTATCCCTAGATCTAAAGTGAGTTTCTTGTAGACAGTATATATATGGGTCTTGTTTTGTATTCATTCAGCCAGGTTATGCCTTTTGGTTGGAGAGTTTAATCTGTTTACATTTAAGGTAATTATTGATATGCAAGTTCCTATTGCCATTTTCTTAATTGGTTTTGTTTTTGTACATCTTTTTTCTTCCCTTCCTCTCTTATTCTCTTCTCCTGTGGCTTGATGAACACTTTAGCATTGTGTTTGGCTTGCTTTTTCTTTTTTGTGTATCTATCTATTATAGTTTTGATGTTTGCTGTTCTTGAGATGTTTTCATATAGCAGTATATATATTTACAAGACTTTTCAGATTGCCGGTCTCTTTCCTGCCTAGACAAGTTCCTTTAGCATTTGTTGCAAAGCTGGTCTGGCGATGCTAAATTCTCTTAGCCTCTGCTTTTCTGTGAAGCTCTTTATATCTCTGGCAAGAGTATATGCTGGGTAAAGTGGTTTTGGTTGTAAGTCCTTTAAATGTATTGTGCTACTTCCTACTAGCCTGCAGAGTTTCTGTTGAAAAATTAGCTGATAACATTATGGGAATCACCTCATATGTTATTTGTCATTTTTCTATTGTTGCTTTTAATATTTTTTCTTGCTCTTAATTTCTGTCACTTTGATTACTATGTGCCTCGGCATATTCCTCCTTGTGTTTATCCTGCCTAGGACTCTATTTGCTTCCTGGACTTCAGTGGCAGTTTCCTTTCCCATATTAGGGAACTTTTCAGCAATTCTCTCTTCAAATATTTTCTCAAATCCTTTCTTTCTCTCTTCTCTATCTGGGACCCTTAAAATGCAAACATTTGTGCATTTAATGTTGTCCCAAAGGTTTCTTAGACACTCATTGTTTTTTGTTGTTGCTGTTTTTCTTTATTCTGTTCTACAGCAGTGATTTCCACCACCCTGTCTTCCAGGTTGCTTATTCATTCTTCTGCCTCAGCTATTCTGCTATTGATTCCTTCTAGTATAGCTTTCATTTCAGATAGTGTATTGTTCACCCTTGTTTGGTTTTTAGTTCTTCTAGGTCCTTTGCTGAACATTTCTTGCATCTTCTTGATCCTTGCCTCCATTCTTTTTCCAAGATCCTGGATCATTTTAGCTATCATTATTCCGAATTCTTTTTCTGGAGCTTGCCTATCTCCATGTCACTTAGCTCTTTTCTGGGGTTTTATCTTGTTCCTTCATCTGAGACGTATTCTTCTGTTTTATTTATTTATTTATTTTTCTAACTTTCTCTGATTGTTGTTTCCATTCTATAGGCTGATGGATTGTAGTTCTTGCTTTTGCTGTCTGTCTTCTGGTGGATGAAGTTATCTAAGTGCTTTGTGCAAGCTTCCTTATAGGAGAGACTGGTGGTGGGTGGATCTGAGTTTTATCCCTCTTGTGGACAGGGCTAGGGATAATGGTGGCCCCCAGGAGAGCTCACTCCAATGAGTGCCGGTGTCTTTGCCACAATGAAAAGCCATCCCATGCTTCTGCAGGAGGCCTAGCAAGTAGATCTCACCCAATCTCTTATGGGGCCACTGCTGGGGTCTAGCCTCGGCAGGATCCAGGGGGTACCCTCAGGATGAATGGCATCAGCGAGAGAGAGAGAGAAGACATGTGAGACCAGCCTTGATAGGGCCAAGTCTGCGAGGGAGAGAGAGAGAAAGAGAGAGAGAGAGAGAGACTGACCAGACGGGGGTGTTTGTAGCAGTCTGGCAGGGTCTGGCAGGGTTTGGCAGGATCTGGCAGGGTCTGGCAATGCTTTATTTTTTACTGTAGCTTTTATACCCTAAGTTAGTGCATTTCTAAGAGGAAGATAGTTTAACATTACATCAGCTTGTTCTTCACGAAACCAGGGTGTTTTCTGCATACTTCTTCATTTATGAGGGTCTTGTGCATTATCTTCTGGCCTGGGGCCTATTAACATTTTATGCAAGTCAGGTGTATGTAAACCTATTTTCTGTTTCCATGGTGACCTGAACTAAAAGGTAGCAGTCTCATAGAGTAGAAGTATAACCTTGTTAACACAAAAATTAATCCTTCTGCAGAAGTTGTCAGTTGCGTTTATCTAAGAAGTTTATCCCATATTGACTCTGCAACTTTGGTGAGGCAGCTTCTACCTAGCACTCCTGGCTGACAATTAACAACCATCTCATTGTTACCACACTAGGGCTAAGCCCTTATTTTTCTAGATGTTTAACTATATTAACAACGGTTTCCATAACACAACCTTAGCACATTAAGAGTAAAAACACAGCAAGCAAAGCACAGCAAGCAAACATCAGCTCAATAACCACCTTTAGAATAATTTTTCTTATGTTTTCTAATAGGACTCCTTCACCCCTCAAAAAGGCTCTATTAGGGCTTTTATATAATCAGGTTCTTTATGCTGTTTTATGATTAGGGTATTATAAGCAGTCATGCATATTAGTACCAAGGGCATAGATGCATTTGCCCAACAAACTAAAATACCAGCAAAGGACTTTAAATTAAAACACTCCTTTCACCCTGGATAATCTTATAAAATACCACCACCCGGGAAAATTCTAAATTGATTCTTATTTGGAAAGAGATCAGGGAAGGCCTTCTGCCTGTGTCACAAAAATTAGGGAGTAGTCTATTGAAGCAAGCATCAAAAAGACAGAAATCATCTTTAAGGTGAGTGCTGGGGGCAGGTTTTCGGAGTCCCTGAAAACCTGATCCGCCTTGCCTGTCAGGTTTTCTCCTCATGACCTTGTCATGGATGGAATCTCGTGAGCTGGCCTTTTCGAAACCCCTAAAACCTGATCCGCCTTGCCTGTCAGGGCAGGTTTTCTCCCTCATGGTCTCGTCATGGGTGGGATCTCGTGTGCCGGCTCCCGGCAGGTCACTGCTTTTCTTCCTTTAGTCCTGGTGCATACAAGACTTTGCGTACACTCCAAGAGTGGAATTTGTTTCCCTCAGTCCTGTGGAATTTCTGTGATAAGGCTCCTTTGGCTTTCGAAGTCAGGTTCTCTGCTGACTTCTCTATTGCTGGACCCCAAGGCTGGGAAACCTGACTTGGGTTCAGAATTTTCGCTTGTGTAGGATGACTTCTGTAATATATTTTTTTTTTCCAGTTTGTGGTTTGCCCACCTGTTGTGTATCAGATTTTATTTCATTGCAATAGTACTCCTCCTCTCATCTCACTGTGTTTTCTCTTTTGTCTTTGAATGTAGAGTATCTTTTTGGGGAGGTTCCAGCATTTTTTTGTCAATGGCTGTTCAGTAGTTGTGATTTTGGTGGTCTCTCAAGGATGGGGTGAGTACACATCCTTCTACTCCACCATCTTGAGACCAATCCCCTAGTAATAGTTTCTTAGGTCCATATATTGTTTTCTTTATTTGTATGTGTGTATATATTTGTGCACATGTGTGCATGGGGAGCTGCTGATTTAATTTACTATTCCTTTCTTAATTTCTTTTTTTTTCCATTTATTTTTATTAGTTGGAGGCTAATTACTTTACAGCATTGCACTGGTTTTTGTCATACATTGAAATGAATTAGCCATGGATTTACATGTATTCCCCATCCCGGTCCCCCTCCCACCTCCCTCTCCACCTGATCCCTCTGGGTCTTCCCAGTGCACCAGGCCCAAGCACTTGTCTCATGCATCCAGCCTGGGCTGGTGATCTGTTTCACCCTAGATAATATACATGTTTCGATGCTGTTCTCTTGAAACATCCCACCCTCGCCTTCTCCCACAGAGTCCACAAGTTTGTTCTATACATCTGAGTCTCTTTTCTGTTTTGCATATAGGGTTATCGTTACCATCTTTCTAAATTCCATATATATGTGTTAGTATACTGTATTGGTCTTTATCTTTCTGGCTTACTTCACTCTGTGTAATGGGCTCCAGTTTCATCCATCTCATTAGAACTGATTCAAATGAATTCTTTTTAATGGCTGAGTAATATTCCATGGTGTATATGTACCACAGCTTCCTCATCTTTCTTAATTTCTTGAAGTGAAAATTTAGACCACTGATTTGAGACAAGCATTTTTGATACAGTGTTTAATGGCAAAGTGCATTTAATTAACTAATTGTATTTCATACATTTTGATTGTTTTATTTTTGTTTTCATTCAGTTTGACTTGTTCTCAAATTTCCTTTTCAGTTTTTTTTTTTTAATTTTCTTTTTAAAATTTTGATTCTTTGTTAAACCTAGGGTATTTTAAAGTGTGTTGTAAATGAGAAAATGCTTGGTGATTTCTGAGTTTCATTTCTCATGAGGATTTCAAATTTAATCTTGTCAAAATCAAAGAACACACATCTTTATTATTGTAAACCTTTATGTTTATTGTTACTTTTTATGGCCTAAAATATGGTATATCTAGAAAAATTTTTATTATGAATTTTAAAAGATTATGTGTTTCTTATTTATAGGGTAAAATGGGCTATAGACATCAGTTAGGTCTAGTTGGTTGGTAGCATTGTCCATGTCTTCTGTAAATTTGAATGTTTCCATATAAGCTGTGTCTCATTAGTGAGAGTGAGTTATTAACATCTGCAATTGTTATTATTGAATTGTATGTTTTTCAATAAACAATTATTGAATTGTTTTTTCAAAGCAAAAATTTTGATTTTGCTTTGAGTATTTTGAAGCTCTACTGTTAGGCACATACACATTTATAATTGTTGTATATTTTTTATGAACTGAACCTTTTATAATTATAAAATTGCCCTCATGTCTTTTCATAATATATATCTTAAAGTATATTTTGTTTAATATTAGCATAAATATTTGACTTTTTTAAATTACTGCTTGCATGGTATATATTTTTCTTTTACATTTGCCCTTTTTGTGCCTTGACTATGTCTCATGCAAGTAGCAATAGGTGAATTTTGCTTTTTATACAGGTCAACAATCTCTGATTTCAATTGCTGCATTAATACATGAACTTTAAAGCAATTACTAATATGCTTATATTTAAATTTGCTCTTTTGCCATTTGCTTTCTATTACTATGTGGATATTGTAAGTTTTGTTCTTTTTTTCTCTTTAGCTAGTTTGTTTTGTGTTAAACAGATATTTCTAGTATAAAATTTTAGGTCTGGTTGTATTTTTTTAGTTTTTGTCCTAATGGTTGGTGTAATATATACGTTTCCTGCCTTATACAATCTACTTCAGACTGATACTAACCTAGTTTCAGTAAAACTAGAAACTGTTTCATTACCTTCCAGCAACAACACAAAAATATTTGCTCTTTAATGTGGGTTACTAAACCTATGCAGTTACCTGTATTCAGTTGCCTGAATGCCTGTAGGCATTCAAGCATTGTTATAACTGGGAGAAGAAACTCTCTTTTCTTCTGGAGTTTATATCAGGAGGTTTATGTTTCCTTCATAAACTGGGAAAAGGAGTCATTAGGGGTTGAATAAATAGAATTAAAGAAAGATTCTGACCAGATTCTGAGAATAATGTTTGAGCTTCAGAATTAAACCATGATTAAAGTTGCAACTACCACCCTAATTCCTTATTCTTTCTCTACTTATTCTAGTTTTATTTGATTTCTTTGTCGTATACACAAAAGAGCTCTAATACAAAGAGTTTTTTTTTTTTTTTTTAACTCAGCTATTCTAGTATTTGGTGACATGGAATTAAATCTTTAGTAAAAGAGATCAAATAAAGTGACAGATACCTGTTCAAACAAATAAAACAGTAAACATGATGATTAAGACAATTAGATAGCTGAAAACTGTTAAGGACCTGGACTGAACAGACTCAGCAGAGACTAAAGTGCAGATAAATGCAGTAGTACTTGGACAGTAAGTGTATATTGGGAGCATTATGAAAATGGGGTACAAGAGAGGAGACAATTTAGTTGGTGAATAATAAGTTACATATTATACATCCTACATTATTGATTCCTGTGGCTTAGTTACTACTGAATAAATTAATATAAGGGACAAAGTTGAGTAAAAAAGAAAGAGTTGGAAATCAACTGCACATATACGGATGCTGACTTTACGGAATAGAAGAGATCACTAAAAGACAGATTGTAAAATGAGAAAAGAGTAAAATTTTTCAGGCTTTTCCTGAAAAGCTTATATTGGTATATATGTTTGCTTGTACTCTCAACAAAAGCCATTTACATAGCTTGAGAAATATTAAGATTATGATTTCATTTCTGATTCTCCAAAGCTTGGTTTAATGCTTGGTGTACTATAGTGTCACTTCACAGTCCAGTTGAATAAATGAAAGAACAATGAATTATTCAAATCACCTCATGGGGAACCAGAATTACAGGTCTCTGTTTTTTTCCATAAATATGCCTCATCTCCAGATACTAGAAGCCTCATACTTCCACAAGGGTTGAAGCTTTTTTACACTTTTGGAAACTTGACAACATCACATGAATATCCTGGAATTATGGGCCTCATTCTCGTCTTTACTTTTGGCTCTCACATTGAGAGCATTTCTATTCCCAAAATCAGGGGTTGATGGGGATCTGATTAAGCTTTGTAAGTGGGGGAACCTATTGCTTCTTGACTCATGTTTTCTCTTTTCTCACTAGGATGTAAATGACATCTTGAAAAGGTATGTGTGACAGACCAGAGATGGTCCTTATGCTGTGAAAATAAAATAAAAACCCTAGAGATAGCTGGTGACCAGTTCGAATAAAACAATGTTCAGGGCTGAAAAAATGGGGTGTAGATTTACCTTAAATTTCTATTCACAAATCATGGCTAGATTGTTCTATAAATACTGAGAGTGAAAGAGATTCTACAGTAGGGAATTTTGCTTGTGAAAAGTTGCAGAGTTAGGGTGAATAGTAATGTTAGAGTAAGGAGTTGCACTGTCAGACTCCACAAATATTTCATTCACACTGTGTCACTATGCAACTCAGGTTCCCATATTTAGTTGTGCTTATCATGTGAAGTTTGAGTCTTCTTTATCTGCCAAGTACCCAGAATTGGAAACAACTTGTTTGTATTTGAGTTTCTTCCCTCCGTATGTTAGAACAGGTCCTTGTACATCTTTCTGTTTAGATTTCCAAAAGCACATGTGGGCCTTAAGCTAGAATTGAAAGTTAGCATCTTTGTGTCTGAATTTCCACACCTACACAATAGCTTCAAGCTGTTTACAAACACATGAAAATCAGGTCATTATTAGTTTAGTATTCATAATGGCTTTTTCTTCAAGGGTATTTGTCTCTGGAGAACCTGAAATCTCAGCATATTCTCCTTATTAAGAAACAGCCTTTGAAGATCTGGGGATTCTAGACAGTGTTCTCATACTTGATCTGTGTAGAACACCCAGGAGCCAGATCTTGTTACCTCAACTTTCTGACATTTTCTTGGGAATACATATCTATGCAGTGACTTTTCCACAAACTGATTTTTTTTGAGATATCAAATATTTATCTTGTTAAATTCATTATTTCATACAATTTCCTGTGTGTGTGCATGCTAAGTCGCTTCAGTCGTGTCCAATTCTTTGCGACCCCATGAGCCCACCAGGCTCCTCTGTCCATGGAATTCTCCAGGCAAGAATACTGGAATGGGTTGCCATGTGAGGGCATGCCATGAGAGAGCAAGACTCCAAGGAGTCTTCCTGACCCAGAGATCAGACCCATGTCTCTTATGTCTCCTGCATTGGCAGGTGGGTTCTTTACCACTATTGCCATCTGGGAATCCCATAATTTCGTATGATTTCTAGGAAATAGAGAGGGAGAGGTTGATTTCATTATAGAAGAAAGAGACTGTCCTTCTGAGAGGTCAAGACCATCCCAAGTCACACAGAGGGTAACTGGCAAGATGGGCATGAGCACATTTCTTCTGTCTCCAAGGCCAGGCATCCACTGTCTACCTCCCCAAGGTCTGCAGGGAAGACAGCTCAAGTGCATCAGTGGGGTGAAAGTTTTGAAAGTCTCTGGTTTTAGAGGGATAGATAGTGAGAGATGTGGACATCAATTTTTGTCATCCCTAGGAGTAAGACTTTGACTCTGGAGAAGCCAAAACCAGTTCCCAAAGAACAGAGAAGTGTGTTTCGAGCTCCTGATCTGAGAGACATACTGCGAGTGTTTAATGGTGAGGAGTGCTACCCAAGTGGGTGTCTTTGGTTTCTTGTGATGGAGGGAAAATGGAGAGGAGGCTCCCGTTTCTCAGTGTGGATAAAGACAGAAAAACCCAGATACTATGTGCTTATGATGTGGTCATTTTATGGTGAGTGACAAGAGATGTGGTTTTATCCTATCTTTTACCAGTTCACTACCTCACCATAGCCCTTCCCCTAATTTGAAAGAAAATAGATTATAGGACTGAATCTTTTGCTTATATTTAACATTGTGGATTTTTAATATTTCAGAGCTGAGACATGTGCAACGCTACTGGGGTAAGGAGATATCACAGTGTCATCAAACCACCCTTTCTCGTTATCTTTTAGAATTTTTCATTGTCTAGTAGACCTCATGTTTTAAGACCCATGTTTTCCCTCCCAATACATACAAATGTATTGTCTTTCCACTAAAGTTATTCTAATTTCAAAATGTCTGAAATAAAACTACATCATGGCCCTCACATATCCCTCTAATTTTTTAACAGTTCACATGACCCTGAGTCGTACAACAGGTAATCGAAATATTGCCATTTCTGCTGATGGAAGACAAGTGACATATGTGTTCAAAGGCCAAGGACAAAATCCATGTTGGAAAGAAGTTTATGAAGACTATGGTGTCCTGGGATACCCAGTTATCACATCAGGGAGACATTACTGGGAGGTAGATGTATCAAAAAAACGTGCCTGGATCCTGGGGTTATATGGTGAAAAACATGCTCAATGTAACACAAAGTTACCGCTTAAAGCTGATGGAAATCATCAAAATGTTTACCCAAGATACCAACCTAAAAATGGCTACTGGGTCATAGGGTTAAATCATGATTCTGTATATAATGCTTTTGATGAGTCTTCCTCCTCAGATCCCATGATCTTAACCCTCTCCCTGAGTGTTCCTCCTCGTCATATTGGGATTTTCCTAGACTATAATGCTGGCACTCTCTTATTTCTCAATGTCACAAACCATGGGTTCCTCATCTATGAATTCTCTTCATGTTCCTTTTCTAAAAAAACATTTCCATATTTCAATCCTTTGACCTGTAAAGTCCCCATGAGTCTGTGCTCACCAAGCTCTTGAACCTTCTCACATCCACCTCTCTGTAGTGCCTCTTACTATGAGTGCATCTAACACATCTGAGCTTATCTGCACCATTCTTACCTTTTTTCCTCACTGCCTCCCCTTTTTTCCATTCAAATGTCCTTCGTTCATCAATAGGGTTTACAGGTTGCATTGTGTCATATTTTCCACAATATCATGTTTGCATTAGGAGAAAATCTGAATTTACCATTTTTCATCCACCAAGGGAAAATGACTGATGCCCAATAAAGAACGAGTAGTATCAAGGCAGCACTTTTGACAAATTTTCACAATCTCATTTCCTCTGCCACTGACTAAGATGATGAAGAAAAGCTACTCAATAACTGTTGCATATTATTGAGGACCTATTGTAGGAGTCATTCATAAACAGATGCATCTTAAGCAGTGTCACTGTTTAACTATCATGTTTCTTATTCATCAAGAAATTAATTAGACAATATTATAGATCATATGTAGTAAGAGTGTAAGTTTTGTGTCCAGAGTATCTGAGTTCAACTCCTTTCTCTTCATATTATTAGCAGTGTAACCTAGAATAACATCTCTAAAATCTGTCTTTATTTTCTTAAAGTAATCTTATTTAAAAAGCTGCATCATACATAAGATCATTGTCAGAAGATACATGCTATCACATAGAGAGCATCTAAGTGTCTCAATAATAAACACTTTATCTATTAACTAATGAAAAATATAACTTTTGTCTCAGTGTCTCATTCAACAGATTTGTGTCTTCAGGGACACAAGGGTTCCTTCTACTAATATCTAAATTTTCATATCCTAGGTACCTCTTTGTTGCTGTTAAGACTACTCTAGCTTTTCTGTCATAGAAAAGCATGTACATATGTGTGTGTGATCACAGTTAAAATTTTATTATGATTTTGGTGTTGCTACATTCAGGCTCTTATAAAATAAACTAAATTATCTGGAATCCAGTTCCTCACTTATAAAAAAGATTATACAGAATTTACATAATTACTATTGTGAATATGAAATCATAAAATCTTTGTAATAAGTTCTGTAACTACTAGGACAGAAGTGGTAGTACAATGTGTCATGTGTTCATTCTGATTCCCTCTCACTGTGACTGAAATAAATCATTTTCAGAATACATATTGCTTTATTTTCAACATTATTACGCTTCCAGTTTTAAGAAATAAATTAATTAAATAAAGAATGACATTTTCTTTAAATTTTGCCTAACTGTAAACTGTTTCTGTATAGCTGCTTTATTTTTTTAAAAAGTTCTGCACTAATCCTTTTTCCTTGAAATTGGATTTCAATTTGGGCTCTGTTTCCCCAGCTTTGCTTCCCTTGTGGCTCAGCTGGTAAAGAATCTGCCTGCAATGCAGGAGACCTGGGTTTCATTCCTGGGTTGGGAAGATCCCCTGGAGAAGGGAAAGGCTACCCACCCAAGTATTCTGGCCTAGAGAATTCCATGGGCTGTATAATCCATGGGGTCACAGAGTTGGACACAACTGAGCAACTTTCACTTTCACTTTACCCAGCTTTACAAAGCTATCATTCACTGTGATACATTAAGACTCAGAAGTATAATTGTGGAATTTCTTAACCAATACCATAGGTAGCTATTTTGTGTGCCTGGTCAACTTTAGTTTTGCAGTGAGATGTAAGTTGTCAGGGATGAAGAAAAAAGTGTGTTATCTTCCTTTAGTGAGATAAGAGGGGAATTATTTCTGCAGGGGATGTTCATTCAGGGTTTGGTGGGATCCCCAAGTCTTTTGGAATTTTTAATCCCAATTTAGCCTCCAATGGAGTTAAAGTTTAAAAACCAATGCCAAAGTGGATCAAGTGTACCTGTTCTCATCTCCGATAGTTCCCCCCAAACTCCCAGCTTCTTCAACTTGGACAGTCTTTGAATTCACAAGGGATTCTAAGGGGAATTTTTTTTTTTTTTTTCAGTTTCTGTCTCTGGTGTGTATGCACACATCCGCATCTTAACTCTCGTCCTTGGAAACAGGGGCAAACTGGTCTTTTAAATATATTCTTTGCCTTCCTTTCGTCCCCTTGCTACAATGACTGATGCTCTGATACATTAGGAAAAATCTGTACTCTTGAATTATTGACAAATGACTCTCCAGGGTCATTGATAACTTTTCACTTACTGGAAGCCCAATCTTCCAGTTCAGGATGAAGCAATTAGTTAAAAGAAAATGAAGACCTGAATTTTTGTATTTTAAAAGAAAAGATCTGCACCCTGAAGGGCATTCACTTTCTAGTAGTGGCTCCTGGGCCCAGAAATAAAGCCTTCTGCTGAAAGAATATAACATTGATAAGTAGCTCCCAGTCACATACTCTCTTCTCAGAGAAAGGACAAAGTAGGTGTCCTGGAACCTCTTCAGTAATTGGTGCTCAGAAAACAGGACAGTTACATGTGAGAAAATGAGAATTAAACATTGTCTCACACACGATTTTTGTTCTTTGCAGTAGCAGTAGCAATATTAGGTCGCTCAGTCATGTCCAACTCTTTGCGATCTCACGAACTATAGCCTGCCAGGCTCCTCTGTCCATGGGATTCTCCAGGCAAGAATACTGGAGTGGGTTGCCATTCCCTTCTCCAGAGGATCTTCCTGACCCAGGGATCGAACCCAGGTGTCCTGCTTTGTAGGCAGATTCTTTACCATCTGAGCTACAGGGAAGATCTTTGTTCTTTGCAGGCCCTCAACAAATTGGATGATGTCCACCCACACTGGGAAAAGCAAACTACTTTACAAAGTCCACATCCAATTCTAATCTCATCTGGAAACAACACACACACAGACACAACCAGAAAGAATGTCTAATCTGGTCACCTAGTAACCAGTTGAGTTGACATATAAAATTAACCATCTCACTAATTTCTCTAATTCATTTTTATCGTGTTAAAATTATAGGAATTATATGTTAGATAGTATTAGAAGACATTGTGCAACAAATGATACTTCATACACTTTCATCTTCTTAGTCTATTTAGAAAAGTGTCATTTTGGCCATATTGCACCCAACTTCTTAAAGTCAGCATCAGTGAACAACCACTCTGTGATCACCCCTCTGATTGACCACCTCAGTGATTTCAGATCTGTTGAGCCGTTTCTTCTAACATGACCTAATAGGACAGTCTGTCCACATTCACTTACTTCAGCTGGTGGACACAGGCCAGGGGAGAGCATGCCAGTGTTGCTGCCTCAGGGAGCCCTCGGTGTGGGTCCTCACTGGGGAAAAGAGGATACTTGACTCCCTCCTCTTGATAGCACATTTGTAAGGAAATGAGACAAGGTGGGTCTGTAAAATTACATTGCTCAGGAAGCTTTGTTTTCCAAAGGATGGGTTAGTTTGAAGAAACATGAGAACAGCTTCCAGGAGAAGAGCTGAGATAGGAATAAAATGCACTCACTGACCCACCAGGCTCAGGCACAAAAGCCTTGTCACTTTCCAAAGGCTCTATGTGGACACCTCTTATTGGTCTATAATTTCTCTCCTCCTTTCCTGTCCAAACTCCACCCCCTAGAATTTAACTTTCATTTCCCCTCATCTTCTACTTCGGATCATCATAGTGGAGGTCAGGCCCCTGGTGAGGTGAGTGAATCCTGAACACATCTGCCCAGGGCCTGTCTTCACCCTTCTCCAAGGAATCGCAACTTCTCTGTTAGGATGTGAGGCTAGCTGAGTGGTTTGTAGAGGGCAGAGTCTGAGAGACACAGAAGAAAAAAATGAAATCTGCTTGAGTGTGTTTAATTAGATGTCTGGAAGCTGTTCTAAAGGGGGAAATGGCCCAGCCTGCAGGCTTCCTGCTGAGAGCACTGACTGAAGATCTGTCTGGGGGAGGGGAAGTCTTAGGAGAAGGGGGATTGGAAGAAGAGAAAGGCTTGGTTTGTTCCTTGGAGGGACTATTTATTTCTCAAGACTAAAATTTACCCACAACTCCTTCACATTCTGTTAAGTTTCAGTTGCACCTTGCTGAGGTCAGTCAGGATCCCTGATTTTTCAAGAGGTAGAAAATCCCTTCTATTAACAAGAGCAAAGGCCAAGGGGTCTTTGAGTCCTGTTATTTTAATTTCTATCAGGGTATCACTGTAGTATTTCTGCATGACCGTATCAATAAATTCTCATTCCATAGGCCTGTCTATGCTCAGGAGCCTGATGATGTGACAGCTGGCAGGCTCTCCTCTGTGGGTATTCACTGGTCCAGACATGGAACTACTGCACTTCCTTACATCCTTATCCTGCTCAAGCTTCTCTATGAGCTGGATTTGCCACTCAGAACCAGCTCAGCTGAGAGATCAGGAGCAAGACGAGCACCTGGGAAGAATTTCTAAAAGTGACATCTGGAAGCATCTAACTTCTAGTAACAGTGACATCTAACTTTCACTTTTAAAATCTTCTTACTTGATTGGTGTTCGTGATATAAAAAGATGTCAGAGAAGTATTATTATATCCACATCATTAGACCTGAAAGGGAAATAAGTTAGAGCAGCCTCTGCATTTATTTCCCTTGCTCCTTATAGAATGTCCAGCTGTACCCACTGTACTCGGGCACAGAATGTGAAATTGAAAAGTGTCAGTCACTTAGTCAAGTCCAGTTCTTTGCGATTCTATGGACTGTAGCCCACCAGGCTCCTCTGTCCATGGAATTCTTCAGGCAAGAATACTAGAATGTGTTGCCATTCCCTTCTCAAGGGATCTTCCCGACCCAGTGACTCAAGTACAGACACAAGTCAAATCTCTTTCCTCACCAGGAGTTCCCCCTTTCTGATCAAATCTTTCTTCATCAAAACTGACTTTGGAGATTATCATCTCTGCTACATATTCCTCGTTCCCTCTCAACCAAAATTGGTTTTAGACTCTTGTCTTCTGAGCTCATACAGTTCACCTCTGTCAGGCCCGTTACTTAGAACTGATTTGTTAGTTTACTGTTTCAGGTTTTATCTTACTAGTATTGAAAGGAATTTATATTAAATAATAGTAGATGACTACCTTGGAAATAAACAAAGCACAATTTCACTTTACAGTTCTATTTAGGAAAAAAGACTCTTTCCATACAATATCCGTAATTTGTGGTTTTATTGTACTTAGCAGAAACAGTTCTACTGCAATCACAAAAGAAGAAAATTCTGTCTATAAATTTCCTGTTTGAACTTTATATGTGTACACTTATATACACACATAACCAAAACCAAAACAGTCAAAAAAAAAGAAGAAGAAAGTAGAAGAGATTGATCTGGTGAGCAAAGGAAAGCAAAAATGATATCAACCAGTTAAAAGCAAAACTAAAACATAAGCTGGGAAACAAAACTAAAGCAATATGCCAGCTGGGTAATAAAGCAATGAAAGCAAAACAGACTCATAAACATGGCGAGAAAAAGAGAGAAAAGGAAGAAAAGAAAAGTTAAATAGAAGTAGGTAAAGGCAGAACTAAACATACATTTCTCCAAAGAAGACATACAGATGGCAAACAAACACATGAAAAGATGCTCAACGTCACTCATTATCAGATAAATGCAAATCAAAACCACAGTGAGGTACCATTACACACCAGTCAAGATGGCTGCTATCCAAAAGTCTGCAAGCAATAAATGCTGGAGAGGGTGTGGAGAAAACGGAACTCTCTTACACTGTTGGTGGCAATGCAAACTAGTACAGCTGCTATGGAGAACAGTGTGGGGATTTCTTAAAAAATTGGAATTAGAACTGCCATATGACCCAGCAGNTAAAGATTAACTACAACAGGAAAAGAATAAGAAAAGCAAACAAAAAAATAGATGTAGAAAAATAATAATAACAAATTTTTTTTAATTAAAAAAAATGGGGGAAAAAACCTTCACAACTGCAAAAGGCCGATGTAGAGGCAGTCATACTTAAAGGAAATAAGTCTGATTAACAACAACAGAAAATTCTCAAAAGTGTAAACAGATTTAATACCGTTAATAAAATCAACAACTACAGCAACAGAGGGAAAAAAAGGAAAAGAGAAAAAAAATCCAGAAACAAAAAATGACAGAACAAGTTAAAATATAAGAATAATAAATGTTTTTCTTTGATCTCAGTTGTCAATGTCTTTTCCCTCGCTGTGAGTCATAGTCCACCTCACCTCCCTAAGATGCCCTCCAATACTGGGCTGGTCTCTAGACCTGTTGTGGGACAGCTCAGATTCTAATCTGGCCCTACTCCTGCATGTTCTT